GTGGGCTTTGGCTCTTGGAAGGACCATTGTCAGCCTAGATGACAATTCTACTTAAAATTCCATTTAAACTATATATGTAAGTACAAGACTTACAAGTTTTTTTAGGTAATTAATAATATAATTGCTTATGACTTTTCTGGACATCCTTACTGTTATTTTGCCTTCCTCTGTAGTTATTTTCCTCTCTAACCCTAATTAGAGACCCCCCCTTTATCCTATTTCCCCACTCTGTTTTCCACAGTTCATTGTGCAAGTTTGGGGCTGCTTCTGTATCTCATTTCATAGCTGTGATGAATCTTACAAAGCCTGCAGAAGATACTGTGTGTACTAGGGTTAGCTCCGGTCCTCCTTCAAGTGTATATCCACTTCCATAGCTGCCAATAAGACAATCTCACTAGTATTTGAAACAGTTCCTACCACCAGCATTTTTTTTTTTTTGTGGTAACACTATCTGCTTTTTGGTAATCTCACTGCCTTTAAAAAGATGTGTATTTGGGTGCTTGTATGTATGTGCACCACGTGTATGCCTGTTGCTTGAGGAGACCAGGAGATGGTAATGGACCCTGACACTGGGGTTATAGACGATTGTGAGTCACCATGTGTATGGGTGCTAAGGACCAAACTTGGGTCCTTGGTGAGGGCACATGTGCTCTTAACCACTGAGATGTATCTTCATCTCCAACTTCAATAATCTTAAGAGAATGTTTGTGAGGTTGGTAGCTTGGTGGTGATGTCTAATATGTGCTGTGAATTTGACTAACTTCTCCACACCAACTTCTTTTAAGCTAGGTAGGGACTATGCCAGAGATTCCGCCTGAGGGAATGGTGTTACAGAAGCAATGCCAGTAGAGAAAAGGCAAGGAAGCTACAGAGACCCATGTGATCTTCAACAGCATCAGGCCCATGCTCAAAGCTAGGACACAACTGAAGCAGAATAGAGTCAGTTTCAGACAACTCCAGGAACGCGTGTGGGACCTTGCCAGACCCAGTAGGTTTCTGTTCTCACAAAGTCAGGGCCATTCATGTATTTTCTGGTACAAGATTTATGCCAAGCTTCAAAATAAATCTGTGATTTTTTTATTGCCCAAAGACTTCTTAGGTAAGTTTTATGTAGTTGTATCTGGTGAGTTTCTAAAGAGTTTTTTTTCTGACTCTGGAGAAACAACATCTAAAATGTAAAATTAAAAAGTTTATAATAAAATATTATCTTAATTCTTCTTTATGTTTGACTATTTACTACTTTTGAACATTTACAATTATTATCTTTTTATTTTCTAAGCTAATATGATTCTTGCTTTTTTCCAGGCTATTTAACACCCAAAGTGTTTGAGTTCATTAAAGGTAGTCAATCACATTCTAGTTTGTTTCTGTGGCTTCCCCCAAATAACAACAATTAAGGAGTTCGTTATTTCTCTTTCAGTCCTTGTCTTCTTAACAAGTCGAGGCAAGTATCTTTGTTTACAAAGAAGATAGGATGTCCTTCTCTGTGTCTTCCCTCTATGATCTGACCAGATAGCTAGTAGATGATAAAATAGTCCATCATGGTTTCATGAATAAAAATTCACAGCTAATGGGATGGCTGAGCACACACCCATATAATAATCCAATTTCTGCCCGTTCTTAACATTCCAGGTTACATGAAATCCTTCATGAACCATGAACCACACTCCTTCTGGTATAGAATTATCAATTCTACTTCAAAATATTTATATATTTACATATCCCATGTGTATTGGGGTGATTTGCTTGTATTATGTGTACCGTGTGTGTGCCTTGTGGGTCAAAAGAGGGTGTTTGATCTCTTGGGATGGAGATACATGCAAGGGCTAGCCACCTTGTAGGTTCTGGGAATTCAATACAAGTTCCCGAGGAGCGTAGCATATACTCTTTACTGCTGAACCATCCACCCAGCCCCAGTTCTTACTCTTGAGTCCAGCGGTGTCCTCTGCTTAGTAAGCCATTAGAGGAGGATTTGAAAATGTTGAATAATTTAAATCTTAAAAACACTAGGCTGTTGATGTTTGCTATTATTACAAAACACACCAGGAATTAGTTTAAATGATATTGGGCTGATATTTTTTTTTTAATTTTAACTAGGTTCTTATCATAATAAGATTCAATTATTGTAATTTCTTTTATATCCTTCTCTGGACAAGTAATATAAAAAAGCACATTAGTTTTATACTAACAGAACTTGGCAAAAATGTAAGAATAATTGAGAGAAGCCCCCATGGTAGTTTAAGGTAGGTTTGACACAGGATTCTGGTCTCTTTCTGAGAAGAGTCCTTGTCTTCTGCACCTGTGGAGCGAAGGGGTGCTGGCACAGGTGGTGGGGCCTGATGGTACGCTTGGCTATTAATGATACATGCTCCATGCATTTTCCCCAAGGGCTACACTGTTGAGGTCGCTGTTTCCATGAAGCGTCGAGCCTCCTAAAAACTGTACTCATGAACCAGATATTGCTTTCAGCTGCTACTGTTTACATGACTGTCCTTTCCAGGGCATTGTCAGCTCACGCTTCTTGTTTGTGGACTTTCCTTTCCCAAGTATGCTCCCTGCCCTGGCCATGGGTGCCTGTGTCCATTTGCATTGCTGACCTTTACTATGAGAGAAAATGAGTGACAGAGAATTTGGACACAAATTGACCCACAGAAGAGCCATCTTTCTTTAAAAAGATATTAAGTAATTGCGTCTAGGAAAAGGTAACTTTCTCATTTCCACTATCCTTTTAAGACACGATTCAGGCCTCCCTCTGAATTCTGATTCTATCAGAATCCAGCGGTATAGACTGCTTAAGAACATTTTGTATACGTGGAGGCATGGGCCATTTTGGAACAAGAGACAACGTAAGCCTGAGATGTGGCAATCCTAGGTGGAATGGGTAATTCACGCAATCTAAGGATAAGATAACATGATGGCCCTTGGGACCCGGTGACCTGGGCAAGAAAGGACAAAAGAAAAATGGGGATTCCGCTCAAGGACATGGCCTAAAACCAGAGGCCATTTTACTTCTTTTAGCTGGTGTTGTATCACGTAAGAAATTCTGTGGATAACTGTTCTATAAAGCGGGCAAGCCTGCAGCTCTGTCTCCACCAGTCTTTCCCAGCGAATTCCAGATGTCATAACTGTGTCTAGTCCCCACCTTGGAGGAAAGAGTGGAGTGTCCCATAGGAAAAGCACACACTGCACCTGCCAGCTTGTCAGAGGAAGGAGCTAGTCACTACACCCTAGCCTTAGGCTTCATCCCTCAGCTACATCTGTTCCTGACCTGGGACTTTTTCTTACATAAACTTTTATTCTTTGTGAGTTCTGTTTCCTTTCATGAATACCACTTAGAGAAGTAGCACACTTAAGAAATCAGTGCTCTTATCCCAGACACAGCAAAATATTGACATCACCTGAAGAGAACTTAGAGAAGGTATGATAAGATCAGCTGCAGATAGGGTTTGTACTGAAGGCACGGTCTTGAAGGAGTCTGCTGGCCTGTCTGTCAGGAGAGACTTGCTGCCTGCCATAGTATTAAAGCTAGCCATGAAAGAAAGTAATGACTTCCAACTAGAGGGAATCCAATCACTTTCCAGTCACGATAAGACAAAAACTGCCAATTAAAGCAATTTATGTCTTTTGTCATCGCTCCAAAAATAAAATCAATTAACCCATGCATTCTTGACTAATGTGTGTATGTAATATTGCATTATAACACCTACCAGGTACTATGCAAAGGACATGCAAAATAGCATTTATATATGCAAAATAACTTTAGCCTCCTAAAAGTGCAGGTGTTCTCATCCACAAGGAACTTGATGGATATGGGAACTGAAGGAAAGAACAGTTATTAAACCGTTCACTGCTCATCTGTTTTTTAGGATTTGAGATGAGACACATGAAGTCCAAGGAGTGTAGCCCAGCTGTTTTTGCCACCTTCTCTGTGACAGCAATCTCTTCTACCTCTAAATCTTGATTGGTGCCAAGAGAGACAAGCACTTTTACAGAGGCGAAATGTCTTTCTATAGGTAATTTGTTTAAAGTGTCGGTGGTGATATTCTCAAAATTTGCAAAAGAAAACATCATTTAAAAAAAATCCAATTAGCCTCTCGTGCATAGTCCGTCCAAGATGCCACATTTCTGTCAGCAGAGTCAAGATTCCCACGGAACCCTACACATAGTGTGAACACACCATACAGAACTGGTTCCCACAGAACCCTACACATAGTGTGAACACACCACACAGAACTGGTCTGGATGCAATAGGAAGCGATCAGGACCTCAGCTGCATCTCAGCACGTCTTCAGTTAGAATGTTCAAATTCCAGGCATTTTCTCTCTCTTTCCAAAGAAGCTTGCATTACTTTTTATTTTATTTATGCACATCACTCAAAAAGATCACGGAACCGTTTAAGCCCATTCCTTTTCAATGAGCTATTATTGACCTCCAGCTGACTCCACTCTTGAAGACTGCATTCGGTGAAGATGGATTTCTACTCAGTCCTCGGGTCCCACTCCGAAAAAGAGCATCAGCCCTACTGACGTTCTGCTTGCTCTTTGAAACCTAAGATGTTGCCCCTTCTCAGATATTTGCAGAACAAAATTCTACAGTATTCATATAACCGCTAAACCCACAGCCATAGGGAGGGGCTAGGGTTTCCCTTCCCTTTTCAGGGCATGTGTGTCCTTGTGGTTTTATGTCCACGAGACCACAGTCTGGTCTCTGTGGTGCACACTTTCTTCAACTCACGGCTCGAAGGCTGTTCTCGGGCTGAAACTCTGTACCTGCGCTATTATTTTTATTGTCATTGTTAAAAGACCTTGTTGGGGGGACTATACAGATAAACGGTTCAGTATTGAACTGAAATATTAACCCTCCCAGCTGCTGGGAAATTAAACCGGTGTCGGCCAATGCCCGAATTTTAAGGTCAGTATCAATTTCCAAGATCCCACTCACCCAAGAGTGAGGCGGAAAGAGCATCAAGACATTGAGAAAAATAAAACACGAGGCCAGAGTCTGTAGCATAGCTCACTTTATTGTTTAAACAGTTTTTGCATAGGAAATATATCCGCTTCCAGTAATTGACTGCAGTATGAGCAGCTGCTAGCAGTATAGGCTGGATATAACAGTAACAATCACATTAAGTCAAGCTTGATTTACACCAGTTTAAAACTTGTGGCAATTGAGTTCATTTGCGACCCACAAAAAGTACACAAAGAACGTTATCCTCCAACTGGGCACAATAAAACCTTCACTAACATTCTGGCCCACTCCGAGGCCCATCCCAGAGGCCTGAACTCCAGAAATTAAGTAACTGTCATATAATACATCCCACTGCGAAAGGTTTGTTACATGGAGATTGTGCATGTGCCTTCCTTTTTTATTCAAAAATCGAATTAAAACACAAGGTTCTGTATTTATGGCCCGCGAGGACACAATGCCAAAAGTTTTAAAGTGGATCAACCCTGGTGTGTAGCTAGCAAGCAATAACTGACTACTGTCGCCTACAGTTGTACTAAATGTATCTAAAGAAACACACAGTCCTACGAAAGTTGTTCTCAGAGAAACATCGGGGGGGGGGGGGGGGCACCTCTTCCCAGGATACTCAAAGCTCTCTGTGATAGAAGCACAAGTTAACAGCCTGATGAAGACACGCTCTAAAGCAGCTCCGAGAAGCCTGTGCCTGGGAAACAGTTGCCCCTCACATTCCACAATGTTGTAGAGATTTTTTTTTTCCCAAGAAAATGTCATTTGAAACATATTTACAACTGAACTCAACAGAGACTGTGAAATTGAACAGGCACTGCTCACTTGTTTGAGTTTTTGGTAAACATTTTGCTGGTTTTTTTGTTTTTTGTTTTTTTTTTTTGTTTTTTTTTTTGTTTCTTTCTCATTTTGCATCAACTTTGATCAGTCCATGCAACTTCAATGCCCTCGATGAAGAATGCATAATAAGCCATACTTCTTTTTTTTTTCTTTAAAGAAAAAAAGACTTCCTTCTGCATAAAGAGATATATTTGCCACATCAGTCCCTGTAGCACACTTTTCAAAACCATTCTGTCAAAAATACAGTAATACAAGACTGGCTTTAGTGTCACTAGCTTCCACTGCTGGTCATGTATTTAGGCCACCTTTTGTTACTGGTACTGTATCATGCAATAAACGTTATCAAAGGCTTAATCTAGGGTCCCCGTAGGCTAGTGCCACTGAAGCGCTTTTCACAATCTCAACATACATTTGAATTGCAACACACAGATATTTCTAAAGAGTATTAACTACTGAACCCTTTTATCTTTTTTTTTTTAAAAAAAAAAACTACTTACAACCATTGAAGAAAAATTGCAACAAAAAAATGTAAAAATTGACCGTCTCCAACTTGTCCCCTTTACTATTAACAATGTGACCAACAGATCTGTGGCACCACACAGTACAGAGTTGTCATGGCAATGAGTTTGGCTGATGCAAAGGTCATTGTGCAGGGTCAAAGGGCAAAATCAGTGGTCCATGTTATTCCCCCAGTGCAGGGATCCACTCCACCCACACAATTTTAAGGAATTAGAAAAAAAAAAACAACAGGGCAACTACCAGAAAGTGCAAAATATGAAGAAGGCGGCTTCCAGCTCCTTCAGCATGTAAAAACATTCAATTTTGAGTTTTTACTATTGAACTTGAAGAGCCTGCACATTAAAAAACAATTTTTTTTTAAATATAGAAACTCCAATTCTTTAAAGTCCAGGAAGCATGCAGCTGGTTAATGTTAACCGAAGACCTTGGCAGGAGCATGTAAACTATACTGAGTGTCATGCGTGGGGCCTATCTGCCGGCAAGACTGTCGGCTTGTTACATGGAGAGTGAATACTGTCCGCTGATTGGGTAACTTTCTGCAGCCTTCATTGTTTCACACAGTCACAGAATCTGCATCTAGGTAGAGAGCATGCCCTGCTTTGCGGCTGAGATGTTCCCGCGCAATCTCTTCCGTTGAGTCCTTACGAAGCTACAAGTGACAAATCCAAGATTCTGCTCCCTGAGGACACATTATGTGAGACATAGCACTAGGGTTTTTTTTTTGTTTTTGTTTTTTTGCTTTTTTTTTTTTTTTGTTTCTGCCTATCCTGAATGCTCTGTGAAACTTAACCTTAAATACCATCATGGAATAATCACACAAAAAAAAGTTTGCTAAAGGCCTTATATACTAACAAAGGAGCGCGGTGCTTCCGACATTCTGAAATGCTCTGAAAACCAACTTTTCCAATACTAAATACAACAAAATAACCTTCATAAAATATAACTTTTCTCCATTTACACTTTTCTTTTAAAAGGATTAGTGTCCTATGCTTTTCAAGCACAGGAATCTGTGAAACATTTCCTAACATGGACAGATTTTTTTTTTTAATACATAACTTAAGAGCCTGGAGAGTTTTAACTCAAGTCCAGTCTCTAAACAAGGAATATTCTTGCTTACTTTAAAAATGGAAACAACACACAGTTCCATTATAATTGTTAAAAAGTTAGCTTTACAAACATGGGAATTTTAATTTAAAAAAAAATTCTTAACAAAACTATACAGTGTACAAATTACTGTCTACAAGGTAGGCGGTTCGTTACGAAGACCTCGCTCTTCTCGCCGCTCACAGCGTCACAGATTCAGTCACGTCCTTGTTAGTGGAGCTGCCCACCCGAACATTACCCGATAACTATATTGCTATAATTAAGGTTTTGCCATGTCTTTATGTACAGTCTCCTTCACTGCCTCTCAGGTTTTTTTCCTTAGGCAAGCCTTGACTGCTCACGTCACTCTGGGGAAACACACTTCAGAGGCACTGTGAGTGGTGGGCTGCAAAGCGAAGGACAAAGGCTGGAGACACCACCCCCTACAGATGCCCTTGGGTGACCTTCACCATCCTGAAGCTCTGCAGTCTGGGTAAGGAAGGGGCGTGCAAGACCTGCAAAAATGGGGCCCTTCGTCAGAATATACTTCCTGGGTTTTTTCTAAAAAAAAAAAAAAAAAAAAATAGGAGGCTAAAAGTGGACTTGAGATTATCTATAGTAGTGCTTTTTAATAAGTTTATCTCAAAAGGAAAAAGAAGAAAAATTATTTAGGAAAAGAAGGAACACTTGCTCTAGGCCTCTGTACCCAAGAGGCAGGCAGGGATGCCACAGTGTGCCATGTCGTTTAGCAAGAATTGTTCAATCACTGGCCACGGGAAGAGGAGTCTGCCTGGAAAGAATACTGTGTCCTGTAAGGTTGCGTTCTCCACCAAATAGGTCAGAAACACATAAAGAGCTTGGCTGGGAGGATTTGCTATCTGCAGAGCAAGTATCACAGAAGCAGTGGGGCTTCCTTGGCCCACTGTGCTATCCAGCATTTCGACATCAAACCGAATGGACTAGTCAGAGACAGTGCTCAGGCCTATGAGCACCGTTTTACAGTACTCGCTAGTAAATGATCTGCTATGCGTACAGTTGACAGTTTATTAGGCCATGGCATGGGGGCTGGGGGCAGGAGAGCCTCACGACAATCTACTGTGTATGTCACTAATTCTGAAAGATCTTTCTTGGAGTAATGGATACACTCAATAGGACCAGGTTGGGGAAGACAAAATACAATTGGCCTTCATTCACCTCCAGCCCTCAGGGGAAACTAACTCAAATACATATCTATTTGAAGTACCATCCCTTAAAAAGAAGCCCCTCCCATTGTTATCAAACAGGTTTAATTCATCCACAGGAAAATTAGTTGCTTAAAAGTCTATATTTCTCTCTGCTCCAGTTTTCAGTTTATAAGAGCAGGTAAAAGAAAAGGGTTTACTTGTTTTTGTTCTTTAAAAACTGAACTTTGATTTTAATCTATCAGTCCAAATACATTCAATAAGAGTCACCCTCTCTCTAGCCAACCTTCCGGATGTCAGAGAACAAACTCCCAAGTGCACTGCCATCCGCTCGAAGTCCTAAGTCACAGGAACATTCATCATCTCCTACCATTGATAAAATGACACGGGGCAGGGAAGGATGGGGGAGCCCTCCCTCCAGATGGGCGAGTGTGTTTGGTAGAAGGAAGCTTATTCCCGTGTTAAACTCAGAGGTGTGAAACAGCCAACATCTGCTACGTGGGCACTTCAAGAAACGTCTCTGCCAAATATGAGACAGGCTCACTTTCCACTGTGGATTCGGAACTTTCAGGAAAAACTATCCACCACAACTAAAACAAGACAGGGCAGTTCGACGTCTGCCCCTAGGAGGCTTCACTGTGCTTGCTTTTTCTTCCCATTTTCTTAGCTTGAAAATCAGAAATGAGTTCAGCTTGCACCCCAGGTGGGAACGCGGTGGGGGGGGGGGACCTGTGTAAGCTGAAGTTTGTCACAGTAGGCAGAACAGTTGCTTTGCAGCCCAGGCCCATCTCAGGGTGTCCTGCTTCACAGCCACACTGTAAAGTGTTAAAAATCCTCCCACCCACCCCCCCAGAATATATATATATATGTATATTAAAAAAAATCCCCTTTCCATCTCTCAGTACACAAAAGGACCTCATCACACTGCAAAAATAGCAGTACCCACTTTGGTCAATTAAAACAAACAAACAAATAAACAAACAAACAAAAAAAGCGTACATTATTTCTTCTCAAATCTGTGTACTTACCTATAATAACCAATACAGCTAAAAGCACTACCTACATAGGCAAAACTTGGTATTGCATAATTCGTATAAATTTGAAACCCCTCCCCCCAAATATTAATTGGAAGATGAAAAACATGAAAGGTTAATAGAAAAAACACCAAAATACTGAAAATATTGCTGGTCGATTACAACTTTGAAGCGGCAACTATACACAGCCATGATATGCTTTTATAAACGTGAGATAAAGGTGTAACTGTCTAAAAAATCCATGATGTCACACATTGTTCTTCGTCTGGAGTACAAAATATTTCATCATAAAAATGGTAAAGATTTAAAACGATAATAAATGCAGCAAAACAAGTGTAGTGATGTCACTTTTGTGGTTTTTTTTTGTCTTTTGTTTTTTTTTTAAATTTCAAGGCAAGGCACGTAATGTGGACATTATATCTTCGTGCAAATTAGGATTACTGGAAAGAGTACTTTTAATTAAAATTTCAAGAGACATAGAGGCAACATGTGTCTGCCCATGCACACTATGGATCTGTCAATATGAGAGATGGGTTGAACAAGGCTAATGTCTGAAAGCACCATGCACGTTGCCAGCACCCCGATGGCACTTCTCTGAAGAGCGTGTTTCCCTCCCCTATGCCCTGGCGTTCGTTCCCAGCCTGGACGCTGGGAGCTTTACCCTGGTGACATGGATTTACCTGCCTCTTTGTCTCTACGATGCAGATTTTATAGAACCGTTTGTACACCCTATGGGTTCTTGATGCAACCAGTAATTTTAAATAAATAATTCGACCTCTGAGGAGGCTGCAGCTAAGCCAACCTAAGTGCTGTGTTTTCATTCATTTTTTTTTTCCATTCAAGCACATGATTTGTCTTGATTTAATGCCTTTTTTTTTTTTTAAAATGCCCTCAAAAACTGAGGGGAAAATAAATTCGCTCAAAATTATTTTAAATTCTTTTTAATCCCCTCAATTTAGAGTCCAAGGGCTGAAGGACTTATAATCACAATTCCCCTTTAGATATAAATTTATAAATTGCACTTGCCTCTGTTAAGTGTTTCTTTTGTGGGGAAAATATTATATTAATTTTTACTGTTGCATGCAGAGGTAACACTTTACCCACACAGAGGCATTTCTTCCATAGAGCCTTTGAGTTCAAACCGTTTTTTTTTTCTTATTTTTCATTTTTTTTATCCTTTTTTAAGATTTCAAACTGGGTTACACACTGGAAAAGGCTGGGTTAAGGGCCAAAATTTAATAAATCTGTACGGATAACTAAAGGCTACAGAGATTTTATATATATATATATATATATATATATTTTTAACTTTTAGAAATCAGAGTGCTTATAAAATGGCTGGCTCATGGCTCTGTCCCCAGCACCTCTGATGCCGCCTCCTAGCCTTGGTGGGATAACCAGGAATAGTGACTCCATGCGTAAACAACAAGAATACTAACCAAGAAAACTAGCTTATCATGCAAATATTAAGGCATCTAGAAAGTCAGTTAAAATATATTGTCATAGAGACAGAACATCTATTTCCCAGCGGACTTCATGAACAAAGGCTACGTTGCGGGGGGCTGCAGTTTAGCATCGTGAGATATCATCGACCCTTCGTGTCGGTAGAGCGTCAACCTTAAGGGAACTAGTGATTGTAAGTGCTGTCATGCTTCCTCACATCTTCTTCCTCAGCTCCGCTCCTTCCTCCCTTTCTTCCAGTCTTCTTCTTTTCCTTTGCTTTGAGTGTTTTTTTCCCCTAATTTTCTTAGACTATTGTTGCGTTTCCTTCCCCTCAGTTGCTTGTCTCCGCTTGAAGGAAAGGTTCTCCAATTATGTTCAAACCATAATTTTGGACATTTGCCGGTAAGATGGGTGTCCTATTTGACACCTGGAAAGGAACCAAGCTAGCCCAGGTACCAGGACTGTTGAGAGGAGAAGGGTGGGATGGAGGGAAGGAAAAAAAAAAGAGAGAAACACGATGTTAAAATCGCCAGTCATATTAGAAGTATAAAATCTAAATGCATCAAATTACAACTATCATATTTTAATTTTTTAAATTAAAATTGTAATAAAGCTTAAAATTTAAGAGCATGCATTAACTATGCTAAATTACACATTTTGTACATATATACATTACAGGCAATAACTTCTATTTTACACACATCATACAAATATATAATCTCTACGATCTCTTGCTTTCATGAAAAGACCTAAGACGCAGAAAAACATGAAATAGGATACATTCACAACTGCTGAACTCTATCTGATTAAGGATATTCTTTTTCATATATCCAACCCACTTCAATGTAATAAGTGGAGAATGATTTTTATTGTTCAAACGAAGAAAAAGAAAAGCAGAAATTCCTGGCGATACCAGACTATTGTAGTTTGCTAGACATATTAATTGTGTTTAACCTTTAATTCATAAGACACTCTGGGTAAGACGGGTTTATCTGCCTACTAGGTTACATAAATTTAAAAATGGAATGAAATACATATCCTTTTCTCTCATAAGAAAATAATACATTTTCAGACAGGTCCACATATATTATGCAATTTAAAACACCTAATTATCATACATAACTGAAGAGTTTCAGACAACCAAGCGATGTCTATCCCGAATGCACAGTTCGTTGCCTTCTATGCAGAAGCCCGTGTGGAGGGTGCAGCGCAGGGGGCTGCTGGGCTCTCTGGTGTGTTTCTGCTCCCCTCTATAATTTCTTCTAGATAGAACCAAAGCTTTCCTTTCCATTCATTTTTCCTCACATTGGTTGGCAACAGAGGCCTGAGCATTGCCTGACATCACCACCAGGAATGGCGGCACATTTGTGATAGCACATTTGAGGACCGAAAGAGAAGGGGAGTGGCCTGTGCCAGCCTTCCTGTCTCTCACCAGTCAGCTGTGCAACAGCCTATTCTGGCCTTGGGATTTACAAACAAGTTTGAGGAAAATTTCTCTAGTTGCTCCTGGCATAATTTCTCATAAAGGTTTCATATGGAGAAAAGGAATGCCAGACAGCCCCACAAAGCACCCGACTCCGGACATTCTGGGGTATACCCAACCTACTGCATTATTTGTATTGATACTCAACTTGGAGGTAACATCAGCCACACAGCAGCTGCCACTGCTGGACCAATGAAAGATCACACAGACAATTCTGCCCCCAGTTTAGCGATGTCTGGCATGGCCTACTCTTCATGTTTTAAATTTTCTTTAGCATCCTCTACTGTTAGAACCAATAGGTGAGATGGGGTTACCTACTGTAGTTAACGATCTAGACATGCCTATCCGTTTGACTCGCAAAGGCATAAAAAACATGACAATTAACAAACATAAACCATTTAAAATTAAAAAGACAGATATATAACCTTTTTTTTTTTACTCTGAAGACACCTCAGTATAAAACACGGCTTATTTCTACCTGTCTAGGAATATATTGCCCCGCAATGTGTCAAAAGAAAAGAAACCAGTGACCTTTTTCTCAAGGGTTTTATGATTAAGTAACCAGGTCAACAGCAGCAAATCTTGACTTCTACGTTGCTCATCATTTAGTACGGTGCTTCGCATATGACAGGCGTGTTACAAAATTTGAGACAAATAAATCAATGGCCTGAACTCATACCCAACTAATTTTAAGAGATGCTGACCTTGATTACCTGTATTTATAAGCACACTGTCATCTGAGTACCTCTGCATTTAAAACCAAGACGCTCCGTACCAAGTTTATGCAGAAAAAAAAATAACACACCAACCTACATATCTTCCTGAGATGATGAATTACCCCAACTCTAAAGACTATATATTTTTACTGAAATCTTTTCTGAGAGACCTGACTGTTTTTCACATATTTTCTCTCTTCCTACACACATCTTCAGAATTATTTTTGTAGTCTGTAGCATTGACTGGAACAATGTTACATAATGTGCCAAGAAACTTATTTGCACCTCAACTGTGCCTCACTGCACTCTGCACAGAGTTCTGTTACGGCACTTATTACATCACCAGAGAACCAGCTGCTCTCCGCAGTTATCTTACTGACGGAAAGGTGAACACCACAGGGGAAGAAATGGCCCAGTCTTATCTCTCCTTATAGAGTCTGGCCTTAAGTGAGACTGTTTCTTACCAATAAGGCAAATGACAAAATAGCCATCTATAATTTTTAACCTAAAGTAAGCAGCGTGGGCCAAAAGCAAACGTCTAGCTCAACAGATAACCTTGGCAATAAAATACAGCATCAACAACAAGGCACCTTGTGAAATCAACAAGAATCCCCGAATAGATGAGCTCCACAGAGTCATCTAGAGATTGTATGCTTTGGAGAGACTGTCTTATGGACTGAAAAATAAGTGTGGCACCTATACCAAATACCTGGAGAAAAGATAAGAATCCAGATCAAACGGCTGTTCATCACAGACAGAGGATTCATGCTGTATAATGTGCAACAAATTTTATTTAAATGCTTAGCTAATCTTTTTGAATCTCCTGGCCAACATGACGGCCATACCAACACTGCAGAGTGTAGTATATTTGTTGATACTGTTTATGAATCTTTAGGGGAAAGTAAATCTCAAACAGGAACACTATGTAGACCCCATAAATTGGTTTTACAAGCCTCTTATCACCAATCCATAGGTCAAGTTCAAAACCATAAGGACATTCTTTAGAGACCTAACAGCAGTTCCCATAGGGGGAACAATCCTGATAAAATAACTCAATGCCTATAGAATAAGGTTAAATGTTAAACCAAACTAGTTCATTTAATTAAAAAAAATCACCTAAATTTTCATAGTTCTTCACTGAGAATGCATAAGCATAATGCATACTGTGGCTCCCATGTGGGCGCCAATATCCATACCCACACGTTTACATAGGCAGATTGGGTACATATAAAATAAGTCTTAGTTTTCATTCCTGGGGGAGTTAAAATTATATGAATTATTTTATGTTCAATTAAAAAATCTATACGTTGACTACTAAGAGTTTCACTATATAGCTGAAAGGATTTCCAAAACATTCAAAGCCAACCATGTGTAGCTTCAAGCTTGCATTCACTTCGTTATCATTAGATTTTGCAATGTCAAGTCACCTTTAGATAAACTAAAGATGAATTCGACTGAAACCTGATAACATATATTTAGGAAACATTTGCTGCCCATAACCCCTGGAAACAAAAGCAGTAAGAAAAGGATATAAGTATGAAGAATAAGCGTCAAAGAGGCCGAAAGATTTCAGCAGCGTCATGAAACAAAACACAATTCATCTTGATGGCAGGCATGATGAGATAGATCATACATAAAAGACATGCCAGCGAAACTAAAATTTGAGAAACAAGTATCTCGGATATCTTGGAAAATATATTTATCTTACTGTGACCATCTGTGTAAACTGACTCTCACCAACAGGGAAGCCATAAGCCAATTCCTTTGACTTTGGAGATAGTCAAGGAGTGATGGTCCTGATTCATTTTATACTGGAGTCTCTCGTCTTTGTTGAAGAAGCTCAACAAATCATTTAACAAACTGCCTCAGTGTAATGGGAAGACTTGGCAATTGAATTAGAAATGACCCGGAGTTCCGAATGACTCAATTCGTAGATTTAGCACAAAAGGAGACATTTCTAGATAGACATACTGGTGAACAGAAGGTGCCATGTCTGATGATTTAGTTCTTGAGATGGTCACTATTATCTCCTCTCATGAGTGAAGGAATGAAGACCAATCTCTCCCACATAGTCCTCAGACATAAACAATTCTGTGTCCCATGGCCATTTCACTATGATAATTTGCCTTCCTATGAAGAGACATGTTGGTCTAACCTTGGCAAGAACTTCTAGAACAGAATTTTCTTAAGGCAAATGGATTTGCTTTAGGAGACAATGAATTTGCCATTCGGTACAGAAACTATGTCATAACCTCATCAATGTTGACAAAGGGACTTGTGCACTGAGTGAGCAACAACCTCAAGTTGTCTAGGCCTGTCTTCTCAGGAAGCAAAAATAGCTCCCAGGTAACATTATAGTGAAAGCTAAGGGGGAAATGTGGCTTGAAACTCTCAAAAAACTTGAGAAAAGCAAGAGTTTGGTAGATGGTACCTTTAAAACTTATAGTTCTTAAATCTGGATAAACTATAGCTGTTCCACTAAAGGAGTAAACAGATTATTTATCTTTCAATGAAAGAGAAAAAATTGCAGTGGATGCCAAAGCAATATCTGATGGTCATTAAAAAAAATTTCATCATGTGACTGTGCCTTAAAGGCCCAAAGTGATTGGTTCTTTGGCTTTTAACACAGTAACCAACCAGAACTACAGGGTGTCAAATAAACATGCATCCAAAGTAAAAAGCTTCACCTGTTAGTCTTAGATCACTAAAATAGCAAGAGCTGTTTGAGGAATGCCTCAATCCATGTACTACTAATCGATGCTCATTCCATTCTTAGGCATCCAAACTGCGTTAGGTCATATCACGTCAGCGTTCTAATTATACTAATACTTTCCAGGGGGAGTCATAAGATTGGCCATTTAGGTTTACATACTACATTCACTTCAAAGATTGTAGATACTCTTTTAAGAAACTTGAGAACTTGAGAAATACTAAGCAATAGAGCACAAAGATTAGGCAGATTTATACGAAGTCCAACCATACCAGTGGCCATTTTGTTAATAGTGATAAAACACACAATGGTACAGGAAGCATGACGACCATATAAAATGACAATTTAGAAAAATTTACCTCCAATTTCTTTTCACCAATTTCAGGTATCACTTATTATTCTTTAAGCTAAACAATAATTTTATTAACAAATTACTAACATGCTGGTTTTAGTGTTTCTTCTAAAACAAACAGCAAAGTACTTCCTCTACTAAAGTGAAAGCATGTCTGAAAACTTTAGACTGTCTACATATACTATGTTGTCTAGATAGAT